ATCGAAGCTAAGCTAACCTTCAAAAATGTTATTAAAAACTGTTCTTCAAAAAGTTTTTCAAATATGTTCTTCACACACACACACACACACACACACACCATCAACTTTGTGTGTAGATAGATCGTCAACTATGTCATTCCCGACCGACATAAACTCTCTGTATATTGTTAATGTAAATGCGAGGAACAACTGTTGGTACACGAGAACTGCGTGGCGCTGCGTCCCTCGTCTACTCATTCCTTACTGTTTGTTTTGACCCGAAAATAAAGGGAAGTTGTTAGTTGCAGTGGAATAAAAACACAATTAGTTATCGCGAAATAAAAAATACAATTACAGTGGAATATAAAAATACAATGGGTTACAGTGGTATTAAAAAATGCAATTACAGTGAAATAAAAAAAATACAATTAATTACAGTGGAATAAAAAATGTAATTACAGCGGATTAAAAGAACACAGTTATAGTTACAGCTCAATTCCAGATTTAACAGCAACACATAAAATAAACCTAACTAATTACACAAAAATCCCAGCACAATTCTGATGCGTTCTAACACCTTTTAAAAATCTACACCCTGAAGCTGTGTGTGTGGGGGTGTTTGAGAGACACTAAGTAGGGTTTATAATGCAGCCTTGTGGGTAGGTTGTATAGTATGTCTGTCTGTCTCTCCTGTCTGTCTGTCTCTCCTGTCTGTCTGTCTGTCTGTGTTTGAGAGAGAGACGTATCTATGTACTTATTACACTATACCACTGTTTTGATTTTAAGGATTTCTGTCTCCCGAAATTGACAGAAATTCCTCGTGTTATGAAAGTTGTAACAGCGCAGTTCTGTTCTTGACGCTGACTATAGGGGAAACCTCCACACAAAATTGTAACTAGGTGAAGCACTTCTCTACAACACGGGGATGAATAACGACCTTGTTTCCACCAGTCATTGCCTACCCTGGGAACAACAACAGGAAACAGGGAGAATAAATTTTGTTCACAGCTGGAGTAAGGTCAAGTACACAGGGGAGGGGTGGAGAAGTGGAGGGGCGGAGGAGTGGAGGGGCGGAGGAGTGGAGGGGCGGAGGGGAGGGCGGAGGTGGAGGAGGAGGGGAGGCGGAGGGGAGGAGGAGGAGGAGGCGGAGGAGTGGAGGGGCGGAGGAGTGGAGGGGCGGAGGAGTGGAGGGGCGGAAGGATGTGAGCTAAGAGACTTCTGACCAGGAAGTATTGGAAGTTCTCAGTGGTGGGTGAAAACAGAATCACCAGTGGAGGGGGAGAGAAGGTGTGTGGAGGGGGGAGAGAAGGTGTGTGGAGAGGGAAAGAAAGTGTGAGCAGGAGGTGTGATATTCTTCTAGTTAACAAAGGCAGGATGACGAGCACAAGCCAAGGCTACAGAATTAGTGAAAATAAAATGGGAAAGGAAAAAGGAAAATGATTCAAACAAATCTAGTAATTGGAGAACGAATCAATGAATAGTAAAAATAAGAAAGACGATGAATAAGAGAAACGATGAGAGTAAGAGTTTGATGAGGAGTGTAAGGGCCTCATTTCCTGGTATACGAGTGTGTCTCCTTTAGTCATATACCTAGGCGAGTCAGCGGCTCCCTACGAGTCCCATTATATGTCTTTCTCTGGTCGTGTACTTAAAGACGACGGCTAGACAGATCAGACAACGCACAGCTTATTACCAGTACCTGAAGTGGATGACAGCGTATCTCTACCTCATGGGGGGTGATTACAACACCTAGTAAAGCCTCTGTTTAACGGACTATATAGAGGAAAATCCATTATATCAAGGGTATTTTATATATGAAACCTCCATCTAACGAACTATATACAGTAGGTGGTTTAAACCTTTGAAGACGATGGCTTAAACCTCTGATGACGATGGTTTAACTCATCAGGACTCAAGGGTTAAACTCAATAGTTGGTTATGGATAAAATCCCTTAAAGAATTATTGTTCCTTTAATGACTATTTTTTCGCCGGTGGATGGGGGTGAGCTATCCCGAGGAAGATTGTGCTGGGATTAGATAAATACAATCAGGTAAAGTAAGCTCTCAGTGAGGAAGATTTATGTGACTACCTCAAATGGTGAGATATTTCTTGTGGTTTTTACGAATGGAAGGGAGGACAGGTGAGGAGGGAGAATGAGGAGGAGGACAGGTGAGGAGGAGGGACAGGGAGGGGAGGGACAGGTGAGGAGGGAGGACAGGTGAGGAGGGAGGACGGGTGAGGGAGGGGAGGACGGGTGAGGAGGGAGGACAGGGAGGAGGGAGGGACAGGTAAGGGAGGACAGGTGTGAGGAGGGGGACAGGTGAGGAGGGAGGACAGATGAGGAGGGAGGACAGGTGAGGAGGGAGGACAGGTAAGGGGAGGACAGGTGAGGAGGGAGGACAGGTAAGGGGGAGGACAGGTGAGGAGGGAGGACAGGTGAGGAGGGAGGACAGGTGAGGAGAGAGGACAGGTGAGGTGGGAAGACAGGTGAGGAGGAGGACAGAAGGACAGGGGAGACAGAGTGGTATAATTTCTTCCTGTCTCTCACTATCCCTCTCTCCTCTTTCACCCTATATTTTTTATCTCTTTCCTTCACTTTCTTTCTCTCTCAAACTTGTATAAATTATTCTTCATTTATTCTATATATTTTTTTCATTATCTCCTTTTTTCATTTATCTTTCGTTTTTTTTCTTCTATTTATTTCCTCTTTTTCTTCTGTCTTTTGTTTCCTTAATTAATTATCACCATCGACATTATTCACTTTTTTACATAATATTGATCAAAGGTTTAACAAGTGTGGATTAATTATGCATACTGTAGATAAGATGAAATAAAAATACAAAATTATTCTAAATTAAAAAACAAACAAGGAATTTGGACTTCCATTTATACGAATATTAACCAAACGAATATTGCGGTGAATCTTATTATTATCTTCAGTATAAGTAGAGGTAAAACGAGTCTAATGTGGATGAGATATACAGCTTCAGATCCATTACGAGCAACCACCTGGGAACCTGCTCAAGATACCTCCTTAGACAGGTTAATTAGCGTCCAGAGATAAGGATCACATCACTTTAGGTTGTGGCGTAAGGAACAGGTGTTAAGTTAGGTAATGTTTACTTAATAAAGTTATTCGATAAGAGGGGGAGTGTGGGGAGGGGAGGGGGAGTGTGGTGTGGGGAGGGGGTGTGGGGAGGGAGGAGTGTGGGGTGGGGAGGAAGGGGAGGACTGTGGCGTGGGGAGAGGGGGAGTGTGGGGAGGGGAGGGGGAGTGTGGCGTGGAGAGGGGGAGTGTGGCGTGGGGAGGAAGGGGAGGACTGTGGCGTGGGGAGGGTGTGACAATAAAAGGGAAGGATGGAAGGGAAACGAGAACCAGACAGGAAATGAAAGAGGATATGAAGGGAAATATAAGAGAAAATATGGAATCGGGAAGTAAGGAGAGGAGAGGAGAGGAGAGGGCTGTGTGGCTGGCCGGGGTCCTGCCTCACGTTTCGTAAACCTTCGTCCATCATCTCCTTCACTGGTTATGGCGGTCATCGCGTCTGTCGTGTAAATCATATTTTTATAACTGTCTGGTCATTTGTCGTCCAGTTACCTTCCTTTTACTGCTAAATATGTTGCCAAATGATGTACACTCACACGTATGTAGTTTTATAATGACAATGTATATATTTATAGTTGTATTGATATAGGTTTTGCCATTATTAAACTACGTCCATCTGTCGAGACATTATTTGAAAACCTGTCACATCAGTTGGCTCTCTGGATATATTTCCTGGTTGACATACAGACAAACGAGTCCCCAACACTCACCATAAACCACTAAGAGGATAAACAAATATTTATCATTCATTGTATTTTTCTTTATTCTATGCCGAGGGAGAAATTGAGGGGAACTGAATTGGAAATTTCTAGGAAGAGGAACAATGTGTTTGGGTTAGTGACTCACACGCCATCTTGTAAATCCCTGTCGAGCCGAGGAGACATAAATCTTTCACTCTCGTCTCTCTAAGAGGATTCTTCCCGACCTGTGGTTACCTGTTCAGCCAGGTCCAGGTGGTGCCAGGGAAGACTATGGCCATATACAGTATATATAAAATAGGGTCCCATTGTGTACAGTAACACAGTAACTCTTGTATTATATAAACCTAACTAAAGTGACACTAACACAGCCTCTTCTCCTCAGGGCTGGACGGAGACAAACGACAGCTCACTGCCTCTCGTCATCTGAATCTCCCTGCTGGCGTGTGCTGGATCACCACACGTCGGAGCTGTAACATCACTTGAGCAGAGCACACGACACGACACTTAGAACGTGCTTAGATATCCCCCCCTGAGACTGCCACACTATACAAAATTACATTACGGCTGAGACGTCTTTACATAATAGTGTTCTGTGAGACGTGAATACCAACGGGAAGAAGCCTAATGCAGAACAAAGGGAGGAAGATCTTGACCTCTACTCCCAATAAGCTAAAGAATCTCTCTACCACTCATGTATTACCATAAGGAAACAAATTATCTCACATTCCCTGAAACTTATTGATTCCTAGACAACGTTAAAAGGTCACGGTGAACTTGCTTGGAAATGAGATGAGAAATTCTGATGAAAAATGTGGAGAGCATCGGATGGTACTGAAGCTGGTGAGAGGAGCTAATTAAATTCAACCTCTTATTCATGGCATCAGCAACCTGGTTATGGTGAATAGAGATGAAAGATGAAGGAATGAAGGACTCAAGTGGTTGCTAGTGGCAGAAAAGTAATTTATATATCTACTTCAGTTTTCAGACTAGGAGAAATTTTATGTATACCGCGTGAGCTGTAGTGTAAAGAAACTGAATATTCATCCACACGACGCCTAGAGACGCCTACCACCACCAACCACCACCACTATCACCCACCACCACCCACCACTACCACCCACTAACACTACCACCACCACTACCACCACCCACCCACCACTACCACCCACCAACACCACCACCACCAACAACCACGACCACCACCACCACCACTACCACCCACCACTACCACCAACAACCACTACTACCACTGCCAGCTGCCTCCTTTAACAAGTATCCCCTTATCTGTCCTTTACTTGTGGCCATTCCAACAGTTCATAGTTTCTTATCTCCACTATCTCCACTATCTCCACTCCTATCCCTCTCCTCCCCACCTATTTACCATATTAATCCTTCTTCCTCTGGTCTACGTTCATACATCTTCTCATAGCCTCTCCTGAGCTAAAGAACTAACCACCAGAATCCAAACCCAAATTAACCAACTTTGTATTGATTTTAGATATAATTTACTAAGAGATTAATTCCCCGTCTGGTAGCAGCATAATTTTTGAGGGATTGTGTTTTTATAACCTCGTGTAATTAGCAACCTTTGGATCGCTGGGTTTAGTTGGTGATATCAACACATAAATAAGAAAGAAGGTAAAGGAATAGTCACTTTTGTTTCCCTGTTTCCCCCTTTTTATTGACATTTTTTTTCCTCTTCTTTGACCTATAGGGTAAAGTTGTCCTATACAGTCCATAACACTTGAGTTTTTTTCCTCTTTGGTTCACCTCCTCGCCACCCCTCTATCTTCCCACTCATCTCCCTCTCACCACCCTCTCACCGCCCTCTCACCGCCCTCTCCCCACCCTCTCAACGCTTTCCCTTCCTTGTCATATACATTTACACATCTTCCCTCCCTTGTTGTCATATACATTTTGTGCTCCTTTCGTGTTGTAGTAACGTACATCAGTTCACCTCACCTTTTGCAGTAATGTTCATTCATTAGCTTCACTCTTGTAATCATATACATTTAATTGTCTCCCTTAATGAGGTAATAAACAGTCTTTAGGAGCCTCCCTTAGTGTGATTGGGGCCAAACAATCATCCTTCGCTAGTTTTGGCCACAAGACTTGGGTGGCCGTTCTTTTGTCCTGGTCCCACACTCTTAGCTCTCCTTCCTTAGCCCTGGACATGCGCCATTGGTAATCCTAACCCTTGCTTTGGCCACACGTGATTGATTATTCTTTTTAGTTTGGCCACTCATACACTAGGCCATACTTCCCTTGACTTGGTCATACGTGATTGATTATTCTTTTTAGTTTGGCCACTCATACACTAGGCCATTCTTCCCTTGACTTGGCCACTAACACTAGGTCACCCTTTCCTCGCCTTGGCCACTTACACTTGGCCACTCTCACAAGGCCATCCTTCTCTGCCGTGACCGGGTCCAAGACGGAAGTAGTGATGGAGACGGCAGGAGGAGACTGGAGGGACGGCTTAGCGGTCGAGGCCCTCACCGTCCTTACCGCCCTCGTCAACGTTTCCAGCGTCAACCTCAACAACTACAGCGACTACTTCAACCTCGACTATTTAGACTACAACACCACCCTCGACGAGCCCTTTAACGCGACCACCAATACCAGCGTCACGCCCCCGTCCTCGGTGAGTCATGTTGGTTCTAGTGAGTCGATTATCTGTGGCTAGTGGAATAATTGTTGAGAGAGAGAGAAACAGAGACATAGAGACAGAGAGAGAGAGAGATAAAGTTCCCCCTGACTGAACAATTTTTCTAGTGCCAGAAACTTGGGAAACCCCTGAAGGACCAAACGGTAATCCTCCTCACAATTGACCATCGTCTTTGGGCTTCTCTAGGGGGAGGGGGAAGAGGGTATAGGGTGACCGATTCCACCCCTTTTTTTAACCGGAAATGGGAGATATTTCCTCCCCTCTCATCGACCTAGTAGGGGGGAAGAGGCCACAGTTACTTCCAATGGCTCTCTGTTTCAAAATAAAAAAAAGTCTGAGAATGATATGAAATGTATATACCAATTGTACGTGTACTTTAAGATACAGAACCTCGTATCATAAGCCATATTTAGTTACCATGGCAGGAGGCGATACCGTATAGGGTAAGGCCCTTTGTGTGTCTGTCTTGTTCTTTTTACATAACAATTCTATCATACAGTGAGAATCCATATAAACACTCACACATTATACATACACATACAGTATACACACTCATACATTATACGTACACATACATTATACACACTCAAACATTATATACACACACATATTATACTACTAATACTACACACACACACACACACACACACACACACACACACACACACACACACACAAACACACACACACACACACACACAAACACACACACACACACATACACACACACACACACACACACACACACAAACACACACACACACACACACACACACACACACACACACACACACACACACACACACACACACACACACACACACACACACACACACACACACACACACACAACATAGAGCCAGAGAGAACACTGAAGATAAGAGACAGTAACACAATATCCAGACCTACCAGAGTGAGAGAGTTACCCGGACAGTGAACCATGGAGTGAGGACCAGCAGCTCACTAATACTCCCTGTGTGTGTGTGTAGAGTACTGTCATATACACCACAAACTCTCTTAAACTCTTATGTATTTGAACAAAAACT